CACAACTGCTGCGACAACCTGGTCTTTTGCATATGGAAGCTGATTGGACTTCACTCCATTCCACGCCTCAAACTCCCCCCCCCCGCAAGGCAGTTGGAATGTCAGTTGCATATGGAATCTGCTGTATTCTGGTGGTGTGCAGGTCCCAGATTCATGTTTTAAAAGCAGACTGACACTGTTTGCCCAAAGCCAGAGCACTTTCCCAGAGCCTCTTTCTAGACCCCGTTGTATTTATTTCCACAACGGGCCTTATTTCTAGTCTGATTATAACAGTGATCATGAGCCACCAGGCCATGTTCTGCAACATTTGGAATTCTACTCACACATGAGGAATTGTTGTTTTGAAAATCTCTAGCATACAATTGCAGGTCTGGTCCCAAACATCTGGACTGAATTTCTGCCCGTTTAATATTACGAGGCTTTCTAGGCAGTTGGTACCCGATCGAGCCAGCTGCTCGTTATCTGTTGGAAAAAAATAGGAGGTAATTTTTTTAGAAAACCCCCTTTTAACAAAATTAACATTTCATGTGACTATTTTGTCACGTTCCAAAGGTGTTCGTAAGCAACCTGAGCTGAAAACTGGCTATGCTAACATGTAGTGTTTATTACCAGCTGATCCAACATAATGTTGCAAAATGCAATCAGGAGCAGTTCTCTCTCCTGTCCCTAAAGAATCGTAGCTTTGTGTTACACAGGGATCAATTATAACCCTGGCTCCCTTGAAAAAACAGACTTTAAAATCATAACTTGGCTTGTACATCAAATTTGGTTTTTCCAAGTAGTCACAAATAGCATTAAGCATGGTTTGTACCAGTGATAAAAAAGACAAACCTAGATTAATGACAAGTGGGAAGGTGGGGTTGTGGGACAAATACATAATTATGGAATGGCCTGCTTGATGAGGTGCATGGGGCACCATTGATTCCTATATTCTGTAGGGCATGTAAAGGTGCCCTAATTCAGTGAGGCGGTTAAAATTTGTGGTGGATGGCTATCACAAACTACAGGGTTTCTTTAGGCTGTTTTAGATCTCTTGTATGTACGGACATAATTTTATGGGGGGTATTGATATTGATTTTGTATCCTAGTGTTGCATTCATAAGCTGCCTTGAGTCTTCGGAAGAAAGATGAATATAAATAAATAATAATAAATATTAAGACAGCTTCACTGACAGAACACTTACATATAAAGCACTAATTTTTTGCAGTTCTCACTTCCAGGGGGGAAAAAGTTAAACATGACTTTAAAAATCCAGAGACTGAGTATTGGCTCCAAAATACATAGAAAAGTTTAGAGGGTGATTTTTGTTCATGCCAATGTTCAAAATAGCCTTGACAGGACTGCAAGAACTGTTTAGCTGATCTACTGAAATTCCAAAGTCATGAGACAAAGTTAGCATATTTCAACATTTAAAAACCCACAAGTGACAGATAACTGAATGGGAGCTTTTAAGACAGAATTCCTGATAACAGAAATCAAAGCAAAAAAATCAAAAAGCCTCATATCAAAATAGCAATAGTTTTTTCCAACAGAATGTTAGCAACAGGATCAAAAATTGTTTAATAAATGGGTAGATAAAAGCATCCCATACTCAAGGTAGTAAAAATGAACCTGTTTCAAGAAAAAAACCAAAACATTTTCTGAAGAGTTTATTGTACAAAACCATCAGAGAGGGATGGAAGAAGGGGGAGATGAAGATATGATTTATATATACCTTCCCACAAATGGTATTCATTCAGAATAATGTGACATGTATTTAAATAAGCTACCTTGTTTTACACACCAGTGTAACTGTGCAAATATGTCAGAAAGAAGAATCTCATTCAAAGCTTCATAGAACTGTGTGAATACATCACAGATTGCATAAAGTGCATGATTACATGTAGTAGTCATCCATTCAGATTTCTGTTGAGAGAAGAAGCACACCTGAATTCTTACTGGGATAGACAGGAAATGAATGATCCATTTAATGAAAATCACAAAGTCGCTTATGAAATACACGACCACACTCCGTTTCTTCTTCCACTGTCAATTATGATGCCATTTTTTGCTTATGTTAGTCTGTAAGGGACTATTGTACTATATACATGGCACAGTTTAAAACAACATCAACTAAGCAGCCCACTGAGGAACAGGATGTTTGTCATTTTCCTTAACGTGAGTGAAGCACAAGGGCAAAAGGGGGAGAGAAAGCCCTTTGTGCTAGCATTGTCTTTGCTATTCATTTCTTATTTATTTACAGGTTTTTATATTTGCCTTTTGACAAAATTATCGTGCCATGCACTGCATCACAAAAGAAAACACCATCCTCTCAATTAAGAGCCCCTAATTTAATTAACACCCTGAACTGGATAGCCCAGGCTAGCCCGATCTCATCAGATTTTGGAGGCTAAGCAGGGTGGGTTGGCCCTGCTTAGTAATTGGATGGGAGACCACCAAGTGAGTCCAAGGTTGCTATACAGAGGCAGGCAATGCAAACTACCTCTGTTTGTCTCTTGCCTTGAAAAGCCTACAGAAGTGCCATAAATCAGCTATAACTTGGCAATAAATAAATAAAATAAAAACATTTCTAAAGCTGGTTTTGATTATTGCTCTGAGGAACTTAGAATACTGATTTACATGGATCCCTTTTGCAAGAGCTCTTGGTACCTCCGTTTGCTGCTCTGGTAACTTCATGTTATCAAATATCCTAAACACAATGCGAAAGAGATCCTGCCACCAGTGCTTCTCAAAGGTATGGCCATAGCTCTTCATAATTTCAAACATAACCGTTAGGCCTCTACAATATGAAAAATACAATAATAAGAATACAAATTAACAGGGAAGAAATCTGAAAAGCTGAACAGAGTTACAAAGACCCAAGTGTTTTCTTTGTTGTTTACCTTGTTCGTACATCTAGCTTGCACCGATTGATAATACAAGAAAGCTCAAATAAAATAGGAAACCATCCTCGGACCCAAACTCTGTCTCCAGGAGCAACATTCATGTCATCACTTGTGTATTCTCTCAAAACCTGTAAATGTAGATATAGATATATATACACACAAACACAAAGGTGGCAATGCAATCCAATTTAAATAAATGCTTATCCTACCTAATCAGGCCGCACTGCAGAAGTCAGAAGTTCAATAGCTTGGTGAAACTTCAAAAGCTCAGCATAAAGTGAAGCACCAAGAATTATGAACACCAAGAAGTCCCCCAACAAGAGCCATCGCATTTTTATCCCACCTTTCCTCCAAGGAGTTCGGGTAGCATATGTGACTCTCCTCTCTTTCATTTTAGGGAGCAATCTTAAGCATATCCACTCAGAATGAGGCAGCTTTAATCTCATTACAGCCCCCATGTCATAGGTTGCTCTGAGTATGAATGACTAGCCCCAACTTCACCCACTGGGCTTCACAGTTGAGGAAGGATCTGAAGCCAAGCCACTCCAAACCTAGTCCAGCACTCTAACCATTACGCCACACTGGCTCTCTCTTTCTAGTATCTTTAAAATATGTTTGGTATTTACATATTAGTATCTTTGCTCTCCTGGTGATGATAGTAATCTTAAAATGTAAAATCCAGGATATTTTGCATGGTAATCCTAGACTTCTCTAGGATTTCCCAAAGTAATGGTAAAAATACAACATTTTCTTACTAAAAAGAACAAAGAAACATGAAATAAGAATTCCCTAGCTAGAAAACAAACTCATGATCCTCTTAAAGTAGGTCAGCAGTGCATTACTGATTTCAAGCCCCTGCAAAAGCAAAGAAATACAATAAAGAAAGAAAGAAAAAGAAATACCTGAGGTCTTTCTGAAACATATTTAGCACAAAACCGGATAAGTCTAATTGCTTCCATACTGGTGTCCGGAAATGCAGCATTACAAGCAAACTCTGATAAGCATTTGACGGCATCCTGGAATGAATCTATTGCTGCAGGAAAATGCTGTTGAAAAATATTGGCTGAGAGAGGGGGAAAAAGAAGAGGGAAAAAATCACCACCTTTCAAATGTATTTCTACTGTGCTGGTACATCTTGGTAGATTAGATAGCTCAATAAACACGAAGCCAAATCAATTGGGCTGTAAATGACATCACTACACCAAGATTTGGCCTTCTGTGTAATACCTGTTGACACCAACATATCACACAGTTGCAGTTCAGACAGCTGACCAACTAAATCTAGCCTGTATAACGAGGAACTCCCCACCAAGCAGACCATGCAGCCAAGGGCTGAAGAAATCACCCGTTTTTACTACCTGCCCAGGTCTGAAATACAACTGGGCTGTCAAGCCCCTTCAGGCCACACTTAATGGCTTTATTTGGCTCAAAGGATCACACATTGTATATACTTGAATCACGACAACGAAATTCACCATAAAACTATACTTGTCTGACGTTTTCCCTATGTGACTTTTCTAGGATTAAGCATTCAGAGTCATGGAGGAGGACTTACAGTGCCGATTAGCCACAATTCTTGAAATGTTCTTTAACTACAGCATGATAGTTGGAAGCCAAGTGTCAGAAAGGTTAACAGCAATTGCTTCCAATTATTTCCACCACTGCCTTTAAGAGGGGGATCAAAAAAAGAGCACCTTATTACTCGTAAGTGCTTTTTGACAGCTGCCAGTAGCAACTATTGATTGGGATGTGGGAAGGCAGCATGTAAGAGAAAAGGGAAGAGGAGTAGAAGAGCAGCACACTTTGAATTCAAGCCACAGCTCTGATTTTGCAAACAGGAGATTCAGTGAAAGTACAGGAAGTAGCCCTGCTCATTCTCAATGTAAGATCTACCTATGCACCATACATGAGCAGCAAAGGCTTGCTCCCTTTTAGAGCACACTATTCCAGGTCAGAGTGATAAACACTTTCAACGCTTTCAAGGTGTCCGGAATTGTGCAGAACTGCATCTCTTGTTGCTACAAGCAGAGCTACAGTTCTGAGTGAATTTCTGAACATATGCAATGACATATCCTCCTGCTCTCTCAAGTGAGATATTGGAGAGGATTCAGTTTCTCCTTACAATGAATTTCTTTGATTTTTAAAATAATAATAACATTCCAGGGTTCCTCGTGGGGTGAAGAAAAAAGATACTTGAAGGGTGTGTGCTAGAAGCAGGTTATCTGTTTTGACCTTGGCTTCTATCACTCTTTTGTCATATCTGCCATGCCAAACTTTACTTACTAACTATATGTCCTGTTGTCTGGAATGCCAGCTCCACAATATTCCCATCGTGATCTGATGCTGCTTGATGAAATACTGCAAAAATATTTTTCCATCCTGACCGGATATTAGCAGCTTGAGAATTCACCATCTGAGCAATGCAGCGAATTACCATGTCTCGAATCGTTGGAGATCTTATTTTCAGAGACAGAGAGAAATACACTACCTTATTTATGGTACTGTGCATGACGCCAGCAGAATGCACATGTGTAAGAAAGCAAGTTAACCTTCTGACTTGTAAGAAGCACTTACCTATTTTTCTTCATGATGTGCTCAAAGGGTCTCAGAAAGTCCTTCTGAAATCGGAAGTTGGCCAGCTCTCCCTTTTCAAGAAACTTCATTGAAAGTTGTCTCAAAGAATCAACAGCAAATATGGCCACATCTTCATTAGGATTACAGCCAACCTACCAAGGAGAAAAAGGCATCGCTTCAGAAAATATGTATGCTAAACACACATAGGCCCTTTGAAGCCAACCATTAATATGATTGGGTCATAGAGGCATCACTCTAATCACTATGCAAAACAGCCAAACACCAGAGCTAACCTAGAGATGGAATTCTCAAATAAGTGTGAAATGAGCCTCAGTCACCCTAATCTTTCAGTTCAGTCATTATTTACATAAGTGTGAAATGAGCCTCAGTCTAGACCCTAATCTTTCAGTTCAGTCATTATTTACTGACAGAACCCTGCTGATTTCAGTGAGGCTTATTCCCCTGTTTTTGATCAGCATACAAATCGAGGAAAAAGTCTTGAGCATTCGCATGTAACCATGACAAAGGTTCCCATCAGTCTCAAGCAAGACCACCAACAGAAAACACACTAAAGCAGGACAAAGGTCTCTGAACAAAACAGGACAGCAGACCAAGTATGGCATAGAGACTCTGCCTCACACAGCAAGGCATAATATTTCTCTACAGATGTTCAGACCTAATGGAGAACTACCACACACTTTTGAGAGATTTCTACATTTTAAACAATTTGTTGGCCAATTAAAATTTAAACTGCTATGAGAGATTTCTACATTTTAAACAATTTGTTGGCCAACTAAAAGTTTAAACTGCTATAAGCTTCTCAATCTGTGAGGCTGTGATAACTTCAAAATGCTAACAGTTTTTATCTGCAGCTTCCTCCAAGCTCCCAAAGGGTAATTCACAAGATGAAGCAGAATAATGCTATGCCCAATAGAAGTTAGGTATCCATGCAGAAAATGGTCAGAATCACTGACCTTGCCATCACATAGGGCCTTCAGACCTCCTGGAAGATCTTTCTAATTACATTGAGATTACTTTACAAGAAACCTTTGTAGAGATTTCTAGCTGTACATTTTCTAGTCATGTTCCACATACAGACTTGGATCCAACCAGGTTTTCCATGGGTCAAAAAGGGAGGGAAGGGTCCCATCTGACCACCAAAATGGTGATGCTGGAGATCATGGGACTTGCATAGATAAAAGTCACTTGAGACAGGGGATGTAGTAAGGAGGGGAATTAGGGAAGATTGAGAGAGAAAAAAATTGCTGTATATTTCTACCTAGCAGTGTGGATAGCAAGTCCAGTCTTTAAAGAACAGGAAATGAGAACAGCTTGCTGCCAAAGCGAATAGGAGTTTCCGGTTATGTGACTGTGTACATGAGTTAATCTTGGTGTCTAAAGTGACAGCTAAGAGCAGCTTGTTCACAGGCTATGCATACCTTATTGAAATGATCTCCAATCACATGCCATATCCTGGACCACTGTAGCCTGATTCTATTCATGTTGTAGTAGGAGATCTCAACAATCTTCTGTAAGCTAAACATGCGAGGATGGTGAGGAGAAGCCAACTCGTCCATGGAAACGGCACACAGCCATCGAACAAAGTCAACTGAACATTTTAAGAGTAGAGACATGAGAGAAAAGTAAAAAAGAGTCCAGTGCAACTTGCTCTTCATTTCAGTGTATTTTGCAAAACGTACATACCAATTGCATTTCCATCCAGTCTTGTTGACCCGGTAAATATTCTGTGGAATGACAGTTGGACAGATAGTGAAGAACAGAGTCAATGTGTGAAAGAACAATATACATATACTTACAGTGTAAACATGAGATGTAGGATCTAGAGCAGGGGTCCCCAACATGGTGCCTATGGGCACCATGGCACCTGCCAAGACCTTTTGGAAAGTGGGCAGGGCTTTTGCACAGCCGGGCTTCTGATTGGCTGTGCAGATTAAAAGGCATTCTGTTAAACAGAGCTTCTGCCTGAAATGTTGAAGAAGTGCTATTAGACTTATACATAAACTCCCTCCCCAACATTTTGTGGTTGGCTCTGCCTCCTGTGGCAGCCATGTTGTGAATGTGCCTACCATCCTGTGTCAGGATTCCAAAGATGCCTGCATGCTCAAAAAGGCTGGGGATTGTGAGCAGAGTTCCACTCAAAGAAAGGGGCTTTCTTGCCTCCTTTTTCATGCAGCAAGCATCTGAGCTCTCTAGAAATCTGCTACTGTGGATAGAGGGACCCCCAGGAACAGCATGAGATATGTCAGGGAAGACTGCATTTGGAGGGGAAATGTGAAAAAATAGCAAGACCACTGCCATCACCTTTACTCAAGAAGAAGGGTCTTCTGCTCACACAAGTAGGGGTTAGGGATTCAGTGCAGTGAATGGTACAAGCTGACTGTTATACTAGGGAAGTGTTCATTTCACAGACTTCCATTTTGGTTAGGGGGGAAAAAACGGTTTTAGATTTCGGGCAATATTTCCCGGGGGGTGAGGGAGAGAAAGATTAGAGATTGAGATACAGCAATGGTCACGTCTCTTTTGTTCCCCTTTCAAACCTTTTTTTTAGCATCTTGGTCCACTCTACACCCAGCCCAGGGACCAACCCTGAAATATTGCTTTATTTTGTTAAGTATTAAAAAAGAACACTTCTGTTTGAGTCCCAAAGTAGAACATATTGTGATAACAAGGAGAATACAGTTTCATACTTAAGTACAAAATCAACACACACTATAGTTACCTGTCGACTGCCACCACCACACTTTGTGAACTGGTTTCTCCCACAGACTCTTGAATACTGGCTATTTGCCTTTTGTCAACTCCTCCACCAACAAGAGTGCCTATTCAGGAAGACCCCCCCCCAAAAAAAAAGTTAAATCCAATGAAGAGCACATCACTAGTATCTATTATGATTATATTAAGGTGCCATCAGCATGTTGACAATGACAACCAAAGAAAATGCAGAACTAGAGGGACAGGGTCAAAGTAAAGTTTCAAAGTAAGAACTACAGAGCTGAAAAGTGAATTCAAGTGCAGAATGCCTTTCTGCAAGAGTTACAAATAAGGCAACAAATCATACTGAGCACTCAAGGATGAATTACCCACAGCCCCCTGAAAAATCCATTATCTGGCATAATGACAAGCACTTTGATAGTAGTCAGAGGCACTCTTTAGATGATAGTAGTGACATCTTAAGATGTCAGAAGTGGGTTCATCCATTCTTCTGCCATAACATTAAAAGGGCTTGGCTCCATGTAGGCAGAGCCAGTTGACAAAGTGTTTCTCACACAGTGACCAGGGGTTGCTGCTCACTCACTGCTACCATCAAGTACAAAGAGCAACAGATCCCTTTAAAACTTTAAGTAATGGCATTTTAATTGTTTTTATGTACTATTTTATTTACAAGCCAACCAACTTCTAGAAGATAACAAGCCTCCCTTTGATTTGAATATGCTATATAAACCCACCATGCCAGGCCTAGAACCCCACCTGTAACATCACCTTGCAAACAGGTAACCACTTTTTGTATTGCAGTTGTCCCCCCTCTCCTTTAAAAACACATATGCTGAAAAATGGTAGTGATGTCAAACATGTGACCCGTTATAGGATGTGGCATTACTAAATTCTCAGTCACAATGACTTTTGAAGAACAAGGTAATATGACATATACAACAGAACAGCCTGTGTAAATGAAACAAAGTCTGCACACCTTATTCAAGTAACAGAACCTGGTTTTCCTGGATCCACAGGGAGTAATTTAGAACTGAAGCACTGTATGGAGCTGTACTGCACACAATGTAAAGCACATGGTATATTTGGGTAAACAATCTACTATTTTATAATTTACATTTATCCTCTTTAAATAATGTTTTATGTAGGGATCCTTTGTTCACTTGATATTTCAAGAAGAGCAATATTAATGAAGACCCCTCCACCACATTCTATTAACTGATCCAGAGGATTAGCCTCTTGCACGGTCTTTTAATTTTCAAGGTAGCTGAATTCAGTGAATGAACATAATTATGTAATATCAAGTGTCCCTGCACCGATGAACATCATTAATTATGTAATATCAAGTGTCCCTGCACTTAAGGCTAAAGTAGTTATTGATGTAATCTGAAATAAAGGAACAGATCATTCATCACAATAGCACAACACCTGGCTTCAATTAACTTGGAGAAGAGAGTCAAAGATATGCTTCTTACCTAGCCCAAGCCCCATGAACTCTTCACCTCCAGATGTGAAACCTTTGAGGCTTCCTTCTCTCTCCCGTCCTGACCCAGAGAGGTAGCGTGTTTTAACTCCAGTACCTATGAGCTGTGCTAGCTCCAGCTGGCTGATGCATTTCAAGATCTAACAAAATATATACAAATTCAGTACCAGTGTAATCAACTATAGGCTACATGATCAGAAGCTCCAGAGTTCCAGTGCAAGCACAAAAGTCCATATGGCCAAGACTTTTCCATTCAGTTCAGTGCTCAAGCACAGGCTGGTGTATGAAATGCTCATGGGAACACGCTTGCTGGAGGGCTTTACACTCCCTTTTCATAGCAGGTCACAGTTCTGATGTACACATACTCCTCTGGGCCACACCTCTGAGCTACCACCACTCTCTGGGACACTATCCCACTGTCAGGTATGGGGTCGCTTGTGGAGAGGTTGCCAAGGACCCTATATTTCCAGGGCAGGGCTTATGACCATCAGTTTCTCTAGGTGCAGGAGTCCTCCCCAGTTTCCATACACATACTTCTGTTAGATCAATAATGTACAGAGTCCTAAGGCACACAGGGTGATTTTGAGGGTGTAGTATACATCAGTCCAGGGCATTAAAATACAACTATGTAAAATTTACTGATAAATGCTCATCGAAATGAAAGAATATAGGCAACTGTAGAAAAGAAGCTAAGATCAATGCAAACCTGCATAAAGAAGTTAATTACAAACTTTACTACGTGTAGTTGAAGATATTTCTTTAGATATTCGCCTTTTAAAATGGAACTCATTGGAGGATGATTTAGGGCACAACCCAACTCAGCTCTTTGAAGGGCTGTGCTTTTAGGCTAAGCCAATGTTAACAGGTTTCCAGTGGTTAGTACTAGGGGTGTGCGGGGGAAAAAATGGTATTTTTCCGATTCGGGTCTACTGGACCCCAAAAATATCAGTATTCCAGAATATTCCCAAATCCCACTATCGGTATTGTATTGGGATTCAGGTAAATATTTGGGAAACCCGAATTTATTCGACTCCACTATACTCCGTGGGGACCATCCCCCTAGGGTATAATGGAGTTTAGAAGACATTTAAAGTTCACTCGCTGAGTCACACCACAATGGTGGCACGATTTGGGGAGTTCAGAAAGCCTTTAAACTTTAAGTGCCTTCTGAGTTCCCTAACAGCCAGGTGGGTGAGCCCATCCACTGTTAGGCTGACATGGCTGGAAGCCAATTCATCAATCCTTTTCGCTTCCCTCTGCTTCCAAGTGGGGAGGAGTGAAAGGGATTGACGAAACGGCTTTTAGCCATTTAAACCTAACAGTGGGGTGGGTTAGCCCATCCACTTTTAGGCTGACACGGCTGGAAGCCAATTAATCGAACCCTTTAGCTGCCCCCGCTTCCAAGATACTTCAAACTTGACATGATGACAACCTTGGGGACTGTTTGGATTTACAGATACCCATTGTATCAGAATATGACTAGGAGCTGCCTTCTCCCACTGCAGAGAATAGCAAGGAATCTAATTTCAATCGTAAACTTTTTGGTACGTAAAAAGCAGCAGCCTGAATTAGCCCTGACTAGCCCAGTCAGAGTTTGCATAAACTGCACTGTGCACTTTACTGGGCAGCAACATAGGGACAAAGTTCAAGACTAAACACTAGTGATGACTCCAGCTATTAGAGAGAACACCAAACTTATAACAATGTTGGAAAAGCTATCCAAACAATTACACAATTCATATTTTAAAACCACTCTGCATTAAACAATTCCTTTAAAAGACATACACATAAACAGAGTATTGAGATGTTTTCAGCAAGAGATCTACAGTCACAGATATTGAGTAAATTAGGCCCCATAATCAGATTAATTCAAGGAAGAAGAAGAGAGAAACTGGATTTATACCCTGCCCTTCACGACCCAAAGGAGTCTCAGAGCATCTTACAATCTCCTTCCCCTTCCCCTCCCCTCCCCACAACAGACACCCTGCAAGGTAGATGGGGCTGAGATAGCTCTTTCAAGAACTGCTCATGAGAGAACAGCTCTGAGAGAACCTGTGACTGACCCAAAGTTACACCAGCGGCTGCATGTGGAGGAGTGGGTAATCAAACCCGGTTCTCCCAGATTAGAGTCTGTGCACTTAAACACGACACCAAACTGGCAGCAAGCCTTCTGTAAAAGTGATAGACAGCACATTCCAAATCTCACATGGTGTTTACCTCATGCCAGGAATTCCCTAGATAATTGCCATCAGTGTGGGCTACAGTAATAAGAGTCTTGATCGTATCTATGTTCTTTTGTTTCATTTCTGTGATGCTGGAGCTGGCGGTCAACAAGGAAAAGCGGGCAAGGGCTTGCACATAAGCATCTCTCTCAAGCTAAAACATAAAAGACATTAAAAGCAGAAATAAGCATGGGAGTGGGCAGGATGAATTAAACAGGATGTAGAACATTTGAGGACCCCACACACACAATTTTAAACAGTGTGTGAGCAAGGAAGAGAGAGTCTGAAAACAGAAGACATCTGAATGGAGTGGGATGTGGAACTAGCCATCATCATAGTGGGAATATGGTGGAATGAAGTAGTAGAGGAGGCAAATGCTTTTTAATATACACTGAAGGTAAGTTGAATAAGCGCTGTCCCTTGGAAAAGATGATTAAACATTATATCAGTTCTGAGAAGAGGCTTGTAGGCACTGGGTTGGATCCAGACTAAAATTTCCATTGGCAGAAGGGAACTTTCCTGCCTCCCTTTTCCAACTGACTTCCATGAAACAGATCATCGGGAATAGGGGACCCTGAGGAATGACATGAGGGGAGTCTGAAGCAGAAAATGGCAATTGGTAGCAATTGCCAATTTAGGATGGATCATACAGTTTAAATAAATGTAATGCTCTACAAGCTAGATTTTTAGAAAGTAGTAATACTTACGGAGGCAATTTACTGCAACTGGACAGAAAACCCACATTGTAACTTACAAAACTCATGCTACTGAACACCATTTTGACAAGATCAGAGACTCTAAAGCCGGGCCTAAATATAGTAAGCCTGCTACACACCAACCTGCATGCCAAAAATGCAGGCAATTCGGATAGCACATCGTATTCCTTCCAAGCACAATGATGCAACTTCTGTGTCGTCGCAGTTCTGAAGGCCAACACTATAAGCAGCCAGCAACGGAGTCCACACAAGCTAACAAAAGACAAAAGCAGAGTTTGTACATTTTGTGTGATTACAATCACAACTATATTTTGGCCCTAGGTGAGTACCTAATTTAGAGATCCATATTTATGTGACATCTATCAGGACTATCACAATAATTAAAAAAAATTCAAAGGCATCTTCCACCTGCTCTCACACCCAATCACTCCATTGTTCCTAGCCCCCCTTCCACACTTGTGCAACTCATCACTGCAGATCCTTGAATAGCTACATCTTCTTTGCAAATATGCCCTCAAGAGATGCAAAATCCTTGCAACTGGCATGTTTGGAAGCCACCTGTGACTTTAGAGTTCCATACTCACTTTGAACATGGGCCTGACATGATCCAGGTGAGTTGCACTAGTAAAAGGGGCCTTTGCATGGCTTACTGCCTCCATCAGAGCTTTAGCAGTCTTTGCCATCTGCTCCATCTCCAAGTTGTACAACAACCGTCGCTGTTTCTCACTGGCTACATCTAAGAAATACACACAAAGCTATTAAAATATGTCATTCAGACAATCCCAGGTGTTAACTTCTAGACAAGTCACAATACAGACTTCCAAACAAATACTACTTTCAATATCCCAAAAGAAACAGCACCTTAAAGAAATTCACATTTAATAGGACACATTTTGAGCTGAGCATAAAATCATTTAAGAACATAAAGATAATTTATGGTATTTCTCAAGCGAGTTTCAGTGATCTAAATACAGGGCTGTCAGTGCCTGTCAACTCTGCTTTTCTTTGTTTCTTTCCCCTTCTCCCTGCTGAGAGGGTAAAAACTACCATAAAAAGTCTACCAGTCTGACAGCTCTGAACAGACAAAAAAAGGCTAATTCACGTCTATTTTCCTCGAGGAAATTGGTAAGATTTTCATTATGCACAGTTACCACTGTATTTTACTGTATCATTAATAGTTTAAAAATATTATCTTTCTTATAAAATAAGGGACTCAGTAATACACCGAACTGCAGACTGGAAGGTCTGTTGTTTGACAGTTTGAGACCCGAGTGCCGTGTGACCGAGTGAGTTCCCGTCTCTGGCCCCAGCTCCTGCCAACCTAGCAGTTCGAAAGCAAGAAATTGCAAGTAGATAAATATTTGCATTTATATCCCACCCATCCCGTATATAAACATATAAAATCAATAATCATAGCTTGCCATAGGGAGAATCCAGCCCATTGATGTAGGTAGGTATGGCCAGTGGGTGGGAGACAGCAACCTAACAGCGTTCCATGTGCCTTGGCATTTAGTCATGCCGGCCACATGACTACGGAAACATCTTCAGACAGTGCTGGCTCTTTGGCTTGGAAACGGAGATGAGCACCACCCCCTAGAGTCAGATTCAACTATTCAAGCAAGGGAAACCGTTACCTTTTTTTTAAATTGAAATTGCAGTGTTCTCTTTAATGCCAAATTGATGTAGGTAGGTATGGCCAGTTATCAGTGAGTGGGAGACAGCAACCTAACAGCGTTCCATGTGCCTTGGCATTTAGTCATGCCGGCCACATGACTACGGAAACATCTTCAGACAGTGCTGGCTCTTTGGCTTGGAAACGGAGATGAGCACCACCCCCTAGAGTCAGATTCAACTATTCAAGCAAGGGAAACCGTTACCTTTTTTTTAAATTGAAATTGCAGTGTTCTCTTTAATGCCAAATTCTTCATTTATGGACAATATGAGATCTGATGCATTACTCTGTGTATTCCAGAACAGCAGAAAGTTCTTGGGAATATAGAGTTTGTATCCAGCTTCTTTCCCAAGTTTGTATACTCTCTCTCTTGCTCACATTACATGAACAAAAAAATCCCTAGGCGTTTATCTAAGCTTGTGGGCTTGGAATAAAGGTCTTAAAACTAAACAAACTTCATCTTTCACTGTCACTCCAGCCTGACTTTTATCTGTTGCAGATTTCAGGAAGAAAGTGGATAGACTTCCACACCCTTGCCTTTTCTCATTTCATTAAGAACTTTCATTAAGATATGGATAGGACTGAAGAAAAAATCTGCAGGGGTTGAACATGCAATGGTTGCTATTGCTGTTATAGTTCTTTCCCCCGCTTCTCTCAGCCCTGTTTTCCGGGGACATACCAGAGCCGGAAATTTACCAGAGTTAAATTAAGCTCATGGCATCCACAGAGAACAACCTGCTCCTGTTAGCAGTTGTTTTGTACCGGCTGGATCACTCAGGGGTTCTGCTGAGGCACAGCTGGCAGCTCCATTTCCTAGGAAAGCTGCAGGCAGAAGCAGCAGCGAACAACCTAGCTTTCGCTGTAACTCCCACACTTGCAGTACATGCTCCAGATATTGTTACACTGAAATGAGGGCCTATAGTTTATTACTGGCAGCGGACAAAGACCCAAGGAATTTACAGCAGTGCATAGGAGTCCTCACTGATGGAAGTCTTCCCTAGTCTAACATTTATAACTTATTTCACCCAGAAAGCTTGATGTCACGATATACAAGCTTAGTTTCCCTTTCAAACAGCCACAGTGTACAGCTAACACCTTTCCCTTATCTGAGCCGTAGCCCACTTGCACATTAAAACAAAGCTTCTCTTTGATACAGCTACATCCCGATACCACCTCGACCCCTTTCCCTCCACTGTTGCTATGTAACAACGATCTGAAAGTTATTTCAAATGTTGGGTTTTAATCTCATTTCAATTTTATGGGAGATTACATTTGGGACATGGTAAGACAGAAATCCAAATGACCTAAGTATTACATTATGCCTTGTTTCCTGATCTCCTGTGTTTCTCTTTCATGCACAGGAATGTATTGCTGCTGAAATTACCTTGTAGAGCTAGCAAGATTGTGGTCTGAACTCCCCACTACAATGCAAAATCAAATTACCCACCATGCCCAATCCACTCTCGTGCTAAGGTCCCATGATTACATATACCTTCTTTTAGGAAAGGCAGGAGTCTACTAAATATACAATTTCATCCTCAGAACAACCCTGTGAAATAGTTTAGACTGTGTATGAGAGAAACTGCCCCAAAATCACCCACTGAGCTTCAGAAATGAGTGAGGACTCAAACCCCAACTCTCCCTTGGTCAAAGTCCAATAACCAAGAATCAATTCTACTGGGTGCCAGAAGTGGGAAGCCTGAGAAAACAAAATACCAGAAAGCCTAGTCTTTTTATCTGTTGAGGTTTACTGCTGAAACCTTACTTGGCTTGGTAGATTTAGTTGCAATTGCATATTCTTTTGAATCTTTCATTGCTATTTTCTTCCCTTCTATTTCATCATAGATAGTAGACAAGTACTCCTCTGGAAGATCTTTGCTGTCATTGATGCCACGATTCATTTTTATATATTGCTCTTTTGTCATCTTATTCTTCACCTTTAAAGGCAAAAAGGAACTTCAGTAGGTAAGTTCTGAGAATTGTACAGAGATCTATATATCTACAGAAATCCATATATCTACCAGCCACATGCGCTTCACCCATACAGTGTAGATTAAATCCACAAACACTTCAAGATGGGTAGCCATGTTAGTCTGTCTGTAGCAGTAGAAGAGAGCAAGAGTCCAGTAGCACCTTAAAGACTAACAAAATATGTGGCAGGGTAGGAGCTTTTGTGAGTCACTGCTCACTGCTGTCTATCTGAACTGAGCAGTGACTCACAAAAGCTCATCTTCTGCCACAAATTGTGTTACTCTTCAAGGTGCTGCTGGACTCTTGCTCTCTTCTACTACCACACTTGCCACTGTTTCCTGTGGCCCACTTTTCTCCCCAATAGGGACCCAAAGAGGCTTACACCATTGCCCTCCTTCATTTTATCATCATAACCATCCTGTGAGAAAGGTCAGGCTGAGAGAGAGGGACTGGCCCAGGGTGACTTACACCACTTCCATGGCAGAGAGGGGATCTGAAGCTGGGCCTAGTCCAACACTTCAGGCACTACATCATGCTAGCTCAAGAGGGGCCACACAGGACTATTTTGCAGGTTTCTGCAAACTCAGGGGGAAAACCCAAATTTGCAGAAAAATACAAAAAGTTGAAGAGGGTTACCTCAAAAACTCAGTAAAACAAAAAATGATAAATGCATGTGCACAGACATCATGAAAAGAAACCATAGACTTCCTTGCTAGATGACCAGTTCTTGTGACCAGACAAACTGGTCCACAAGAATGATACCTGTGGGGTTTCAGCAGCAGGTATGGGTGCTTTCCTTCAAGCATTAGGTGATGCTTGACAGAGGGAATTAAAACCTACAGCAGACTTCCAAAAGCACAATGTGAGGCAGAGACCTCACCACGGGGAGAGGTTGCTTTGGTAATGGAATGCTCTGGCGGCAGTAGCCATAATGAGGAGGAGGAGGAGAAACAGGAAAAAATAACAACAGCTAAGGGGTGCAGGGGAAGCAATTTCTGCATCTTATTGGTAACATTGTAAAAACTATACCTGAGGACTGTGCAAGTCTGTTGTAAGCATTATAATAGAATATGCTAAAACATAGGCAGTGTCGGCACTAGCAAAAAGAGTCTGCCTAGAAAGAAAAGAAAACAGAGTTTTAGAACCCTAAATCTTGCTCCATCATCTCATTACATGTAGAGATCCGATTAAGAGAAGAAATCTTTACAAAGATTCCACTGCAGCCATTTCCTAATGAAAAGCAGAAGCGAAGCGGCTCGTCCCGCTGTGGGTGGTGGCTGCTCCCAAAACTTGTATCGATAGGTAATTCTACAGTTCTGTAAGCTCTGGAATTCAGAGTATGACAGAGTCGTGGTATTCATTTAACCTTAGTGGGGGTGGGTGGAAAGCCCTCTACCTGCCAAATATCAAATGCTAAGAATCTGCAGCAACACCGAGCCTGAGCTCATATGGAATTCAAAGACTCATAGTGATTAATAACTACAATATAAAAGTAATGAACAAATTTTCCCCTCAGGTACAGCTAGACTTTTGTATCTACCTAGCACATTTTTAATCATAGCTTTCCTCCATGAACATCAGACAGGCAAGAATGGTCCTCCAGTTTCATTTTATTTTTGCAATAATCCCACAAAATAGGTTAGGCTGAGAGTGAATGACTGGGCTCAAGGTTACACAGGCAGCTTCACGACAATGTGGAGAAGTGAACCTAGATCCCAGACCCTTGACCCTCTTATTTTCTTAGCATTCTAGAGTTTTGGCACAAGAAGTTTGTGTTTTTAGAATACATGTTGTCGATTTGAAGAGGTCATACATTAAGAACACATAAGAGAAGCCAATGTTGGATCAGGCCAATGGCTCATCCAGTCCAACACTCTGTCACACAGTGGCCAAAAATACCAGGTGCCATCAGGAGATCCACCAATGGGGCAACTTATTTAAATAAAATAGGTATAACACATGATAACTAAAAATATATTTCTTTAAATAACTATGAATGTACTTTCTGCCTGGACATCCTCCTTAGCATGCTCGTAATCAAGGGTAGCCCAGGAATCATCTACTCAGAACTGATATTTCTAAAGATGAACTTGTTTAAATGATGGTTTGACTGATGAGTTTCAAGTTACCCTTGGTTGCACTCAATATATCTAGCAGCAAACTTTTCCATTAGCCTATCAATCTTCTGGGCTTCACCAGGTAACCGAAATCCTTCCAGAAATATACGCAAAGCAGAGACAAAGTCCCTTCCGCAGAAATCAAGCTGGTCTACGTAGGTGTACATCACTTCCTTGTTAAACTTGTTACTATCCCCCAGAAATTCTCCCACTTGGCTCTGACAACAGAAAGAGAGACAAAACAACACAGTAAAGAAAGAAAAACCACTTGTGAAACATTTTTAAGCAGCTGACATTGATAAATTGCACCTCACGGATACTGCAAAATATATTGCAAAGCCAAATCATCATGTTAAATCATCAGTACTGCCACAACATTCAGAGCCATCAATGGAAAGTGGGTGATGTGAAGAGGCTTATTTTCATATGCTCTCTGTACAGAACCAAGAGATTTAAAGTACAGTCTCCTTACTGGAACCTGATCGTATATGTTCATGCTCCCAGCAGGACTGCTCTTCTTCACAGCCCCAGCCTACCCTCTGTGCCTTTCTTCAAATATCAGCATCATCTAAAGGCATCACAAGTATATCAAGACCTCATGTCAGTCACTTTTCCAATGCAGCACAGACTACCACCAAGATTAAGACACTCCTACTACATACAGAACTCCTTCGCTTGTAATCCATTTCAATTACATTTAGAAAGACACCTACGGAATTTGTATTTTAAAAACAGAATTGCCACTGCAAAAACATGCCTGACATTTGAGTTAAAAAAGTTGTAAATCCCAACTGCAAGGCGTGTTAACAAGCCCTATGGGAGCCACAAGCAACAAAGTGCGCTAGTCCCGCCGTTAAATAATATTGCTCCTGCTCCTGCAGAAGGAAGCAGCCAAATACCACTGGCAAACTCACTGATGTGATATTTTCACACAGCCACATACACACACAATCCCCAGGTGATACACTGTGTGAAGTCCATAGAGATATACACCACTATTGAAAGAATGACATGGGGGGGGGGGACTAATGCAAGATCCAGTCTTACAGAAGAGAGGCGCTCTTCTTGGTGCAGAAACTGTGCTATATCCTCTACCGTCACGCCAAGCATTCCTTGCTCCTGCAAGTACTGCAGGCCTCTCTTCGATTTTTTGTTAAACCTATGATGAGAAAGGAAAGATCAGTCAGATTTAGAAAGAAAGCCATTTGTATTTCTAAAAGACCAAAACAAATGTGCATCCTGAAGTGTATGCATGTTTAAAAGTTAGGAAATACAAATCAGATTTAAGACACATGCTTGAATCCCAACTCGGTATACTACAGTATAGGGTTGCCAGCACCGTTGACCGAGGATGGGTGGGT